TCACATAGGCTGCCACCGGCTCACATCTTAGGGTTAAATGACATGATAGCAGTCAGCTATCCCATACAAGACAAGGGATCTGCCTAGGATCACCTGGCTACTTTGTAACAAAAACCAAAAGTACAGTGTCCTCTAGCCCACGACAAACCTCCATGCCCAACACCCTATTGACCTCCCTGCCCCCTTTAGCAGCAGACAGATCTCTCCTCTGGAGTGGGGAAGCTATTCTTATGGGAAACAGGTACGTGCTGATGAAGAGGTCAGGCAGGAAGAAGCTACATAGGCTGCTGAGTCCCTTCTTCCTGGATGTGGAAGCCACCTCCTCACTGAAGCCCAGGAAGTGGGTGCAGATGCCCAACGAGCACACCATGAGAAAAGGCCAGGTTTCTTCCAGCAGTCAGGCCTTGTCTTCTTTTTCTCCTTATATTTCTTGTTGTCATGGGATACCAACTACTCTATTCCAAACATGGGGCATGAATCAGAACTAAAACTCTGTTTCTTAAATTCACAATTGAAAAACAACAGCATTTACATTTGTTATTTTTGCCCAGAGTACCAGGATAGCCTATGAATAAAACACATAGTTGGAGAGGAGGAGAATATTTATCTCACAACTCTCTGCCAACCCAAAGGCCAGTTTAACAGTCTTCATGACTTCCCATAGTTAAGCACATAGTACCAGCAGGCTAGAACTGTTTAATGTTAGGAATGTTGCATCCAGTTCTCGCCTGAGCTGATTTCCAATGTGGAGTTGATTTAAAGTAGTTAACTTGAAATGAATTACTTTAACTCCATGAATTGCTGGGTTGAAATGAGTAAAGTGACATGAAATGAATCCAGGCTGATTCATTTTTAGACTCAGTAACCAGGATTTTTAACACTGGGTTGGTGGCCAATGGGTAAAGTTGTAGACTTGAGTAATTGAGAACTCTGGAAAAAATATCTTAAAGATATGGAGCTGTGAAAAGCCACAGCTGGCTCCTGAGGGTAGGCTCATTCGTGGTAAGAGAATCCAGGTTTGGGGTCAAGGAGGTTATCAGGCATCATCCTGAAGCCCAGAAACAGGGAAGACAGGGCAAAGGCTTTCCATAGCCTAAGCAAATCCTATAAAATGTAGGGTCTTGGTTATAACCTGACATCTTAATTTAATGCAGTCTACTCTAGTACTGTGGAATTCAACTTTTTGTCTCTAAATTGAGAACCATAATGTTGTGTACCTGCTTAAGAGAAAACCCCTATGGGATGGGTCATAACACATCAGAGAATATTTCAGGCATTCCTTCTGTATCTTCCACTCTCCTTCCATTGAACTAAATGGTGGTCTTTCATCTTCAACAAGCCTCTGATTCTATCAATTCTTCCTTCCACTTCCCATTGTTACATAAGCTGAGTGTCTTGGAAATAGACATATGTCTTAAAAATAGGTCTCTGTATATAATTTAGCTGTGAATGTGGTATTCAAGCCGTCTCCAACTTAAGAGCAGGCTCTGCTCCAAATATTTGAGTGTATGTCAGTTTTCTAGTACTCAAAATGCACTTTCCCATAGAAACCATGCTGTGTATGATGGTTAGGTCCCCCCATGGAAACCTGCTAGAGCCATATAAGTAGAGTGTGACACTAAACTAATTACACTCTAATAGTAACCTAGACCCTGACATTTTTCTAAGGAGAGATAACACAGAGTTCTAACCTGAGTCTGGCAGAGCAGGTCTCACACAAAGGTACTCACTCTGCCTGCAGCCCAGTGGTGACACTGCCCACCAGCCCCATCACACTCTCATCCAGGACAACTGGGTGAGAGTCTGTCTGATTCCCTGACTTGCACTGATATATTTGGAGGAAAGCATCACTTGACCATTAATGAGTAAGACATTAAAGAAAAGGGGAAGACTGATGAATTCCGGAGAGTATTTGGAACGTGCGGCTCAGAGCCCCTCTCTCTCTCTCTCTCTCTCTCTCTCTCCTTACCTCTCTCTCTCTCTCTCTCTCTCTCGATGAGATCTAGAATCAGCAGGGAACAGGGAACAGGAAACAAATGCAGGTTCTCACCAAGCCCTTGGTGGCCAGGGGAAAGGGAGAGAGAGGCCCAAAGAGAGTAGGCAGGAGAGTGCATAAGATTTGTTTCATTATCTGATAAGCACCACTAGTACCCAGAACTGTCACATCCAAGAAAGAACACACAGGTCAAAGTGAAACAGAAAAAAAGCTGATATATCTCACCTTTAAAATGACAATCTCTGGATATATTACTAGGAGAAAAACAAAAGAAGACCGGCTAAAACCTGTCATAGGAGGAGGTGCCATGGCCAAATGAAGAGGAGTGCCCTGGGGGTTCCAGACACCCCAGAGCACCCAGCCAGCCCAGCATATCGTAGGGTCTCGAGCCCTTGGCAACTCAGCACCCTCACGTCAGAAACCCTTGAGCTGTCTAGCAAAGTGATTTCTCAGTTGCTCTGGACTACAGCTTTTTAATTTCAGGTTTTGTTTTCTGGTTATAGCATTTAGCCTGAAGTCACCTATTCAATGAACAGTGGACATAAATAATGGTTAGAGATATAGAGTCCATTGCTTCATTATTTATGAACCATACAGTAGATAACTCATCCTCACACTTCTCACTAAATTCTTTCTAACTCCATGGTCGTACTGCAAAAGAAAAAATAATTTCACGCCCAAAGTTTTTGAGCTTCCTCTAATTGTCCTGAATTACTTCTCCCTTAGAAAGCACTCACTACATTTCTGCGGGGAAGGAAATGTGGTGGTTACTACCGTCAGTGGGATGCAAGGGGATGACTAAGCCTAGCTGTCATCCCACACTACAGGGCTTTGGGCATCAATCCTGAAAAAATATAGGCTTCCGCCAACACTGAAGGGATAAACGAAATGTGGTACATATGTAGTCTAATATTATTCAGCCTTAAGAAAGGAAATTTTGACCAATAATATAATATGGACAAACCTGGAAATATTATGTATGCTAAGTGAAATAAGCCAGACTATGCAAAAGGCAAATAGTGAATGATTCCACTTATATGAAGAACATATAAGGGTCAAGTTCATAGAGACAGCTAGTTGTACAGTGGTTGCCAAGGGCAAGGAGGAAGGGGTTATGAGGATATATTGTTTAATTCAGACCTTAAGTTTGGTGTGATGAAAAATTTCTAGAAATTGATAGAAGTAGTGGTTATACAACAATATGAATCTTCTTAATGCCACTGAACTTTACACTTAAAAATTGTTTTAATGACAAATCTTGTTAGACATATTTTACTACAATTAAATATGTATATATGGGCTTCTTGCTCCTGTATTCTACCTCATCCCAAAAGCATGTATAGAAAATGACAAACATTATTTAAGGTGTTGTGGGGAGGGGTGCAATTTCAACCCTAACCCTAACCCTAACCCTCAAATAGCAAAATCCAAAGTTGATCTCTCTTGCAGAAGTCTGAACAAAGACTTGAAGTGGAAGAGTGAATATGCTGTGCCAATATGTGGAGGAACATTCCAGCAGAAAGAACAGCCAGTACAAAGGCCCTGAGGCCATTTATGCCTAAATATCTGAAGATCAAAATAATGTGGGTGGAACTTGAATGGGTGTGGCTGCCCTGGCACTAGAATTTTCCCATGGACCCAAGTGGTTCAGGATTAGTGAGTAGTCAGGGATATAGATAACCAGTTCAAGTCTTATCCATACTGGAACAAGAAAGCTATGGTATAAACCAGTACTGGTCTGCATTTAGCTGCTGTTTTCACTCAGCTCTTATACCCCTACCCCTTTGATGACCACTGATGCAGTGTTTGAGCCTCTGTGTCTTATGTATCCAGAAACTAAACTTCTTTTCTCCTGTCACACTGTGGGATGGTGGGGGACTAATAACTCATCAAGCCAGTGTTCAGCAAATCCTCATTTATCCCACTCCTTTTGAAGCACAGCCCTTACTCTCATCTTCTGGAGGTGCTAGCAACTCCATTTCTTCCTTACTGAATAAAGGAATGAATGGGTGAATGAGAAATACACATGAAATCATAGAAAATCTGGCACTAGAATATGTATTTAGGATTCCTGTGGCTCTTGAGAAGAGAGGAAGAAGTCACAGAAACTTTGGCAGTATAGAAAGAGCGTCTAAAGACAGAGACAGAAGATAGAGCATATCACAGAGCCAAGACCGAGCATGGATCTAAGTGGGCATCCCCATAAAAGCATGCTCTAGGACAGGGGTAGCAAACCAATGGCATGCATGTTATTTGTTTTTCTTTTAAGATAAAAGATGCTAATGTATGAGGCTTTTTCCCTAAACTAAAGCCTCAATATTCAGGTTTAATTGCAGTGTTGGCACTTTGCAATAAATCAGTGGGTTTTGGATTGCAATGTGGGCACTTGGTCTCTAAAAGGTTTGCCATCAGTGCTCTAGGAGATGGAGTCAAGATGCCACAGTGTCAAGACATCTGAGATGTACTTACGGTCTCATCAAATCCTATGCTTATTCTTAGACTCATTCTTTCTGATTAAAGCTCTCGTTGAGTTGGAGGTATAAAGAATCCCTAAAAGTTTCCCTGAATTCTCACTACTTTGGTGAACAATTCTGAAACACCTCTAAACTCCTAAAACATTTTGGTGATATTTCAAAATATTTAAAATACTGTCTTTGATTGGTTTCCAACCATATCTGATCATGGCCTCTTAAAGAAAAATATGTAATATTCCTCTCCATAAGTCACATTTCCAATACAGCATTTATCTACAACTGATGTTTAGTAAGTCTTTGTGGATTAAATCAATTATTGACCATTACTGATGCCACCAAAATAAAGTTTCAATATTGAAATATGTCTTAATATACCCGGTTGTTCCTTCTATGCTCAGGAAGATTGGTGGGAAAGATTTCATTTTATACTTGGGAGCCATAAAGGATGTTAGTTTATTGCTGCATAACAAATCACCCAAAACTTAGCAGTTTAAAGCAACACACATTTATTATTTATTTTAATTTCCCATTTTCTGTGGACTGGGAATCTGGGCATGGCTAAGCTAGATCGTCGGTTTTCAGGGTCTCTCACAGGCTATAATCCACAAACCCACTGGAGCCACAGTGATTTTAGAGTTCAAATGGGGCAGGGTCCACTTCCAAACTTGCACAGTGGTTGTAGGTAGCATTCAGGTTCTCATGGGCTATTGGACTGAGGACCTCAGCTCCTTGTTGGCTGTTGGTTAGAAGCAACTCTCAATTTCTTGCCATGGTGGGCCAGGGATACAGCTCAGTGGCATGGCACCTGCCTGGCAAGTGTAAGGTCCTGAGTTAAATTCCTGATATATACAGTTATCCATAAAATCAGTTTCTTGCCATGTTGTCTCTCCATCCTGGCATCTTGCATCACCAAATCCAGTGAGCCAAGAAGGCAAAAAAAAAAAAAAAAAAAGATGTCAACAAGATGAAAGAAATGATCTTTTATAACAGCTGTGATTTGAATATTATTTGTCCTCTCTAATACTTTTGTTGGAATTTAACCCCCATTATGAGGTATTAAAACGGTAGAAATTTTTTTTTTTTTTTTGAGACGGGATCTCACTATGCAGTTCAGGCTGGTCTTTGAGCTCACTTAGTAGCCCAGACTGGTCTCGAACTTGCAAAGATCCTCCTGCCTCAGACTCCAGAGCGTTGGGATTACAGGCATACCTCACCACACCTGATGGTAGAAATTTAATCCTTGGTGCTTAGAATTGAAGCTTTTCAGAAGTGATTAGAATTAGATAAGGTCACCAAGTTGGAACACTCATAATTGAATACTGATGATTTTATGAGTAGAAAGACAGAAACCAAAGAACACATATATTCCTAAGCTCCCTGTAATGACATGTGATGCCCTACAGTATCCCAGAACTCTGCCAAAAAGATATAGCCCCTCAGCCTTGGACCACAACCATGAGCAAGAATAAACTTATTTCTCTTTCACTACCAGTTTGTGGTATTTTGTTATTATCCGTGAAAACAAGATAACTAAAATAAAACCTTATCTCAGAAGTAACAGCCCATCACTTTTCCTACTGCAAAGTACACTCTTAGGTCTAGCCCATGCAAGCCATGAACACCAGGAGGTTGGGTTATTGGCAGACAACTTTATAAGTAACCCAACATAGGGATGCTCAAAGTACCTAAGTTATTCCAGACTCGGCCATGGATTTGTGGTCTGGTAGATCCACACATTCCTCTCTCCTGTCCATGCTGAATGGTGCTGTAAAGGCATGGCTAGTGGATTGGGAACAAGTGGATTGGGAGAAAGGAAAGCAAAGTAGGAAAAGAAGGAAGGCACTAATCCATTTACCCAAATTTATTGTGGAAAAGAATTTAAATTTTTCAAGTTATCAAACAGACAAAAATGACAAGCGACTTCAGGTATGGATTTATTACTGTTAATGCCAAAGGTGGTCCTAATGTCTTAAAATGTTTCCATATAATACATTTGTTCCGTTCAAATTTATAATTGGGGGCTAGAAAGAAGCACAGTGCTGGTCAGGGAGCACTGAAGTGCTGAGTTTGCAGGATACTCGAAGGTAGGATTTTCCTGGCAGAAGAGGTGTGGTTTACACTGATTCTGTTCAAGAAATCATTGCTGCTGAATTCAGCCCCGAAACATCCCCACCATAGACTTTCCCTTTTGGTGCTGCTCAGCTATTTACCATCTCCTATGGAAAACACAAGTACTGGGCCAGGAGAATTGGGCTCCCAAATCAGACAGCAGTGTGAGTGGTTAATTCAGATAATTCCGTACCCCAAAACCTTCTTCTCCTCCACCACCCACACCTCTGCCTGATCCTTCCTTGCTGTGTCCTCCATTCTCTCCTCTAGGGCCAGGGAGGGGAGTAGCTTCTTTCCATTCACAAACCAGGCTGGTATTGGAAAATGTGAGACGTCACCACTCCATCTCCACACCTCAGTCTTGTGTGTGTGTGTGTGTGTGTGTGTGTGTGTGTGTGTGTGTGTGTGTTGAGATGCTGAAAATGGCAACATATCATTCCTAAATCTTGCAGAAAGAAATGAATCATGATATGAATGAGAATTAAGTGAGGATAATTGAGGTAAAAATAAGGGCGAGGAGAGGCACATGATGAAAGACCAGAGACTTAATACATTGATACTTAGCATTTCCCTTTTGGAGCTCAAGGAACTGAAGTAGCTTGTCCCAGATAGCATACTGGGGGATCCAGAACATAACCCTAGAACCACGTGACAGTGTGTGACACATGCAAGACAGACCAACTGGCCTTCCTTGTGATAGGTAGTAAGCACAATTATCTATGTTTTTCCATCTTGCAAATTACATACATATATAGGGGTATGGTTTGGAGGTAAACCCCAAAATCCTATGTATCAAAGGTCTGGTCTACCAGCCTGTGATGCTATTGGGAAGTGATGGAACCTTTAGGAAGTGGAGCTTAGTGGAGAGAAGTAGTTAGGTTATTGAGGATGTACCCTTGAAGAAGATATTGAGACTACAGCCTCTTCCTCTCTCTCGTTTTCTTCCCTGCCACCATGAAGTGAGAAGGCTTCCTCTGCCATGTACTCCCACGATGGTATACTGTTTATACGGTAGTGCCACAGATCCAAGAGAACTGGTCAAGAGACCATGGATTTAAACCTCTGAATCTGACCCAAAATATACCCTTTTTCATTATCAGCTTATTTTCTCAATTTTCTCAAGTATGTATTTATCATGGTGCCAGAGGTTGACTAAAACACAAGTATATATATACATATGTATATGTTTAAATTTTTCTTATTTGTTTTTGTTAGTGTATCTTTGCATGTACTAGTGTACATAATTATACTTACTGTGGGGAGCTTGTACGTGTACATAATTACTAAATGTACATAACACATTTTAATTCTTTTTATTTTATTTGAACTATTTTATATTACTAATTAGCAGTACAGAAGGCCATTGCCAGTAATATAGGGCTGGAGTATGTCATCAGAAAATCCTTGTAGATGAGTATATTTGGTAGTAGCAGACTTTGTGATGGTCAGGCTCATCAGCACTCTACCTCACCTAAGCTGTAAATGGAGGCTCCCTGTATTAGAAATGTGAACTGAGGCTGAGGGCCTAAAGGAATATAGGGTTTCTGAAGTCCCAGAAGGCTTCCAGTAGCTGGAGAGGAAGCCCTTTGTTAAGCTGGCAGCTGCCTGCTTCTGGGGCCTTGTCTTAGTTACTTTCTCATTGCTGGAACAAAATACCTGACAACACAAATTAAAGGATGAAAAGTTTGTTTTAGCTCACATTTTGTAGAGCTTTCAGTCCTTACACAGCTGGCCCCAAGGCAGGGCAACACACCATACCAGTATAGCAGAGGAGAAACAGTCCGTGGCAGGCCAGGCAGAAAGCAGCAGCAGTGAGCCTTCCTTTCCCTTTTTATTCTGTTCAGGCTACATGCCTATTTGTTGGTGCCACCCATACCCAGGGTGGGCCTTCCCATTAACCACACCCAGGGGCTGGGGATTTAGCTCAGCGGCAAAGCGCCTGCCTGGCAAGCTCGAGGTCGTGAGTTCGGTTCCCGGTACCAGAGAAAAACCAAAAAAAAAGACAAAAAGACAAAAAACAAAAAAAAAAAGACAAAAAGACATTAACCATACCCAAAACTATGCTAAACCAGTCATTGTAGTCATTGCATTCATCCAGCTATCACACCTTTAATCATTGATCTATTCACTTCATAAAACCCCACCTATGAGTGCATAAGGCTTTGAGGATACATCTAGATATTGGTCTCATGAGAATATAGACCAGACTCTGGCCATGTAGGAATACCAGGTAACAAGGCCATATCTACCTGAAAGGAAATCCCTTTTTCCAGCTGATCTTGTTTTTATGGACAAGAGGAATTTCAAGGAGAAGTTAATTACAGCCAGTGCAGTAGAAAGGACAATATCCCCCACAAAAATATCTATGTATGAATACCAGGAAATTATGAACATGCTCTTTCACATGGCAAGCACAGAGTGAGATTGCTGATAAAATAATGTTGCTCATTAGCTGACCTTATAATAGGGAGGTTATCCTGTCTGTACAGGTGGGTTCTATATAGTCACAGAGGTCTGGAAATGACAGAAGAGGGAGGTTAGTGTGGGTGTCAGAGAAACATGACTTGAGAAAAACTCATTCAGCCTAGGAAGGCTGTGAAGATGGAAGGGACCGGGGCAAAGGATGTAGACTGATTCCAGACACTGCGAAAGGCCAAAAAACAAAAGACCACCCAAGAGCCTCCAGAAGAAAGGCAACCTACCAACATTCTGATTGCAGCCCCATGAGACCTGTGTCAAATTTCTGACCTCCAGAATTGTAGGATAATGCATCTGTGTTGTTTTAAGCTACTAAGCATTTGGAAATTTGTAACAACAGCCCTACGGTACTAATAGAAAACAGTACAGGGTTTTCTGAGTCCAGGAAGAAAATCTATGAGATCCAGAGGGGCAGGACATTCCTCCCCTGGTGTAGGATGAAGAGATGTTGAGGGCAAGTCCAGTCCCTCCAGAGCTCTGTGGTCATGATCATGGACTGGGCTGGCTTGTTTCACACTCAAGGCTCAAGAGCTATCAGTGAGGCCCCTGACACAGAAAAACAAGCACTGAGCTCCCTTCTGGGGAATCCTGAAGTCATGGATGAAGAAAAAGTGCAGGGATTATTAGTCAGTGACAGTTACCAGGAGAACTCTTGCTCCTCTGACCTCTCCACAACCCATACAGTTTTGTTTATTTTCCTTGTGGTGATTGACAGCCGAACCCTTTAAGGAAAGGGCCTTGTGATTTGTTTTGTGAACAACAGCAATGATAGTGGAAAAAACAATTGTCTCTCATTTCCCACTCAGTTAGGGCTGCCAGAAACCAAGGACAGAGGAACAGGTGTTGGCAACAGAAGAGAAGCAGAATCCTGATGGAACCCTGGGGTAGACAGGGAGAGAAAAAGGCCTTTAAAAAAGCCATAAGAAGGTTGTCCACTCAGGCATGGGGCCAGGACAGTAAGAGGAAGCCTGTGGATATGTCACCAGGGAGGTCACTCTGCTTAGGGTGGAGTTAGGTCTTGTATGGCATTGATACTCAGAAAATCTGGGATGTTCTTCTTATTACTACACAAGACAGGTGGCATTTTCCACCACAATTTTATAAAGTTTAAAAATTAAAACTCACATCCATGAATGGGCTTTGATGGTGAGGAGCTCAGTAGATGACAAGAGGCCTCATACCAGAGAAAGAAGAGATAGCAGGAGATGAGGGAACTGGTCTCAGAGTACCTAGGAGACACACTCATGACCTCAGCTAGAAAACAAAGCCCAAAGAGACTGATCTGCCCTCTCCAGACATTTCAGCTTGCACTT